TTAACTAAACTTATTATTATTATTATTTAGCGCTCGGAGCGCACTGTCACTGAAGAATTAGCACCGACTTAGGTGATAAAGTATGTACAAAATCATTGGACCAGCGGTCTATCTGAACAGCCTACTCTATAAAAGACTTTGAAGTTTGTGCCATGTAACGTATGGAACGTTTCAACGGCTGCGACTATTTGTATTTTTTCCCACGATACTTCAGTCATTTTGAGTCACTTTACCTGGAGAATAAGAACTCCGACTTTTGGCACGCTATTCATATTCAAAAACGCACTTGAATCATTTTTACAGCGAAAATTCTGAGAGGCATAATGTCATCTGCATATGTGAATCAGGCGCAAACTGCATCACTGAAGCGAAAGGATCCACACCCCGATGCATATCCCATTCCGCCGCACTATTCAGAGTGCAGTCATCCGTGAATAATGGGTCGTGCACAGTGGCTTCGTTTACCTTGGAGGATGCCTGCAGGTGAAAAATGTTGGACAGTTTCCCGCCAGTTCGATTATTAACGATAGTCTCCGGCCGCTCTTTATGGTAGGCGTCGATCGACGTTGCCTGGAGCAAATCAATACTGACTCGTTTGCCCTCTCAGCGTGCAGCTTAACATGGCTAATTGAATTCTCTCCATCGAGCTGTCGTTATATGTGTCTTGCACCTAAAAGATTATCTCAACCAGGGGTTTTTCAGGACGCACCTATAAATGACTTTGCCACCAATAATCTGGATCTCTCGCTACATGCCGACAGAATTACGATCAAAACTGCCCATATTTGTGGCTTTATTTCTCTCAATTAATAATAATAATTTATTTAATGCCAGTTTACGGGCATTGTCAGCGAAGCGTTAAACACAAATCCGGCCAGCAGTAAAAGAACCTGTGGAATAGGAATAAAATATAGTTGATGGTGGTTATTATGGTTTGGAGTGTTTAGGAGAAAAAAGACTGCTGGCGGCAAATTTTCGACCATCAAGAAGGTAGGGGTTGTACGGTATCGGATATTATCAGTCGCCAATTGCTTTCATGAAGTTGGGGTTAGTCCAAACAGAAGCGCCGAAGAACAGCTGTCGTTGTTGGTCAAAGAAATTGTCCCTGGTGAGACCGGCCATAGTGGTCAGAGACTACAAACGCCATTGCTACGGTGGAGCCGATCAGGGGTTTCAGCACCAAAAATTTGTGGGAGCTTTTCTGAATGCAAAAATCGAGTAATAGTCCTCTTAAATAAAGGATAATTTTGCAGAGTTTTCACACTCCTGGGTAGTTTATTCCAAATAGCAATTGCTATCTTCCTAAAATTAAATAGACTTTATCGAATGTTTATACCTTCCATTCTTGATTATTGTTATTCACTCTTTGGCTTGACAAACGGGGCTGGTCGTTTAAAAATTTCAAATATTCAGAGGTATTTTACTATAAAACTCATCGTGTATATATGTATTTGAAGGGTTAGAGGCAGAGCCCTTAATGACCCGATTTGTGTACAGTGGTTTCACATAATCACACTCAAAATAGAGTTGCAAACATTTAAAATGTGATCAGATCGCTATGCAGCCATACTAATCAAGGGGTGCATCTACTCACTCTGGGTCATTACGGAAAGGTCGTCTGTGACAAAGTGTTTTGCAAAACTGGCTGTGCGTAGTTATGTTGTGAAAGTCAGTCTTTGTCGAAAAGTTCGCGTACAAGTCCTCTTTTACACATGCGAATTGTGTCGGTCGTCATCATCACACTTGGTAGGGAGTTCCATGTTCGGACAGCCCGTTGGCTGAGGGCGAACTTCCTTCGGTTTAGCCACGTGCGTTCGCTTTTGACTTTGTAGGGATGGGCACGGGATTGGTTTATACTGACAAACTCAAGGAAGTCCTTCGGTCTCAGTGAGTAACCTCGGCAAGACACAACCAAACATTTTCTACTCAGATAAATGCCAATTAACTAACCTAAAATGTCCATGGGTTCAAAGGCTAGAAGCAGGCTTTTGTCTCCAATTTCGCATTAATAATAGTTCAAATCTTTCTCGGATTCCAAACAATCGAGAAATTATGACGTTGCCGCATGTTTTTCTCTCTGCCTGGGGTCTCGCTTTCCACGATCTCACATAAGGAATTTCGATTTTTCCAGTTCGTGAATCGTGTCCTTCACAAAACGCAATGTTCTGCCTAACCAACCTCTCAAAGTAGTGTAATGTAAGTAAAAACTAAACTAAAATGAAACGATGGATGATTTTAACATAATGAGACGCGCTGTTTTGGAGGGACCCTCCTCTGCCAAAATGGAAGAGCTGGACGTCTACTGACAGTATTTTCGGGGGATCATAGAGCGTCTAGATAAATTCCTTTGTCCTACAAAAATTATAAGACCATGTGTGCGACCACAGAGGGTCACTCCGAGGACGAAAAAGATCATAAAGAAGAAACATATGCTGTGGAAAAAGAACTTGCATCTTAAGGGTCCCGTAATATTCTTCGAATATAAAGAGCAACGTAGCGAATTCAGCAACCAAATACCAGTTGCTAGAACTTCTTACGGGCGCCGTGGGCGGTTGAGAATCAAAACTGCCTTGAAAGAATTCAGAGGGGAACCACGAAGATGGTTAGAATTCAAAGCTCCTTTCCTTATGCAACCCGCCTAGTAAATCTGAATCTCATCCCTTTGAGTTACAGGCAAATTCGCGGGGATCTTTTGCAAGCATTTCGCATTGCAAATGTGTTGGATTGCAGCCTGGCTTTAGAAAACTTTTTGCATTTGCTACCACGACCAACCTCCGAAGTCACCCGTTTAAAATGCGCACTCAAGAGACAAGGCTGGATGTGCGGAAGTTCTCCTTTTCAGTTCGAGTGGTCAAACCATAAAATGCCCTTCCAGCAGATTTTGTAATTTTACCATCTATACGAAGTTTTAAAAAGAGCCCTAACGTATTTATATTCTGAAATGACCAAGAGCGATTAGAGGTCGAGCTCAGCCCCTGTAACTCGTTCCCATCTTGTCCTACCATTATAGGCTCTTTTGAACTACTTCAGCCCAGAAACTTTCCTGTACACCACACATTTTTTACGTTGCAAATAGGGTACTCAAAGGCTTAAATATATTTCCCTCCATAAACTGAACTGAACTGAGTTGACAGCAGAATCCATTACATGTCGCAAGAAGTTTTATGGGTACTTTGCAGCAAGCGCAAACACAGGGAAAAAAGTGCGTGTTTAAAGGATAGTCAAGGAAACTTATTAGTTGAAAGGCCTCAGAGAGTATAAGTACTGTCTCAGTTTTTCGATAGGTTTACACGGTGGAGGCCTCTGAAAAAATGAGGCGTTTTGAGTGAGCCTAGATAGTCGAGAGTTTCAAGTGGGACAAAATAGTGCCGGTACGGAGACCGTTGCCTTATCCGACGAAGGAGTAAGACGCGTCCTCAGTCACAGTAAGCCGGACAAGTCTCCTGCACCTCACGGGATTCCTGGGCTGATACTTAATGAACTATCGACGGAGCTGACAGAGCCTCTTTCAACTATATTTGAGCTGTCAAGGAGGACAGAGAGACTGCCTTCACAGTGGAAGACAGCCGGCCTCTCATGCAAAACGACGGAGGTTATAGTGAAGAAAATAACATCCAGCAGAATTTCCAGCACGGTTTCCGGAGAGAACGTCCCTGCCACTCAAATCTCGTAACTTGTCTGGAAATCTGACCTAGGGCTTTGGAAGAGGACTGCGCGATAGATGTCGTGTACATCAATTTCCGAAAAAGCATTCAGCACCATCCCACACCAACGCATCACAATCTGAGCACCCTCCGCATCGGGAGAGATCATCCGAGTTTGAAAGGGTTGTTGCTGGCTGGTCAAAAACGGCGTGTTTGCATCAACTGCGGTAAAATAATGTTTGTCGACGACGTTATGCTCTGGTAAGTCATTAGGTAACCGAATGACCAGAAAATCCTTCAGGATAATTTGCATCTACTGCAAAACTGGTCCGAGAAATGGCTTCTGGATCTACGTGTGCAGAAGTGTGCCGTCTTTCATCTGCGTCCGACCAACTTTCATTCCAATGACAGCATGAGGGCATATCACCTGGAAGACGTTACTCTACCCGCATAGCCTCTGCAGAAGGATCTCGGTGTTTAAATACAGAGCAACATGAAACCAGCACTGCAATTCACCATGGTTGCAAAAATGTCATGAGAGTACTCCAGAGAATTTTGCGATTTAGAAGTTCTGGAAAATACTATCAGAAACGTCTATGGCAAATTTCAAATCGTCGGCAGAAGTCAAACTTTGCATACATTACATAACATAACAGTTTCTCAATTTTACTACATATCTGGCCGTTCGCACAAACCATTGCCCTGTAAATTGTCTGTATTTTACCAATTGACTCATTATCAACACATTTTTGATAGTGTTCTCTGATCACTTAAAATAAAAGTATTGTTTTTATTATTATCATCAGCAGAGTGGCGAACATGAGACTGGAAAGGGTGGGGGAGGCGTCTGTAGTTAATATGGATGTTGATACTCGACTTTTCCTATCCCTGGTGCGTATTGCATCCTTTGCAGCATCTTCGGAATTACATATTTATGTCAAGGCCAACACGGTTCTGAAGAGATTCATTTTACGAATCGGGCGGTGAACGATTGAGTTAAGTCTTTCTTCAAAGTTCTCGCTCGTCTTACTTGCTTTTACATCGCGCAGGAGAGGCCTCGGCGGCTTCTTATGCTCATTTTCTGTCTCATGGTCTTGTAGCGAGGCTTTCTGATTTTTAAACGCGTTTTTCAGATCCATAATTTAGCCTGCTACCCTCTCTTCCGTCCCACCAAGAATGACTTTTAAACGCTATTCGGCGTGCGACTTTGCAGTATTTTAGTTGAAAAAATTCTCGGACTAGTTTTACTATCGGGGAAAATCTGACAGGCCTTCGTACTCGCCAATTTGTCCCTTCAACTGAGGACGTTGTTTTAATTTGTCAACACGCGCCTTTAGATTCGTGTAGCCTCGCAAGATGGCGGATGGTGGGTGTCTCTTCCTATCTTACCTTTACCCTTTTCAGTTGAACCAGAATTGAAACGGAAGACAATTGCAGACAGAGAGGATGAATATCACGCAAGACGACAGGCCGCGATGTTCTCTCCTGCTCGGGCTGATCCCTTCGCTGACGGTGTGTTTTGTCCGCTTTCTCATCTTTGATTTTAAGAAATGTTTTCATCGTCTCTAATGGGGTGTCTTTTTCTTGATAGCTCCCATGCTCCGAAACCTACTTCGGTTGGCCCGACGCTTCCTGCCATTAATATAAACTTGTAGGCAGCAAAGCGTATAGTTGACATTTGTGTATACAACATGCCAAAATTGTTTTAGGGCGAATACATCCAACATGAAATGGAGATTCTTTGACGAAGGGGCGTCCACATGTCAGCTGGAAGCGTGCGTGTACGGACGGTATATGTTGGACAATTCCGACTAGTTTTGTAGCCGTTGCCTTCATGCAGCCATTTTGCGTGACCTAACATTCTCTTTCTTTCCTGTCTTTTTCATGAATCCGGACTTATCCTGCCACCGCACTGATTCTTACCTTAAGGCGATAAAACGCCGGACCCGAGATTCAACACGTATAAGGATATCATGATCAATCAGCAACTTTCAAGGGAGCAAAGAGCACTTGGCGCTCAGATCGTGGCCAAGGCAAAGGCAGGCGAGTTGAAAGTTGTTGATGCAGCTCCACCCACGAAACGCAGAAGATGGGACCAACCGACTGCTGGAGTAAACGGAGAAGCAAAGGGCACACCAGCAGCGGCAACCCCCCTAGCCACGACTCCTAAGCGTTGGGGCGACGACACGGCCACACCTCTTAGACCTGGAGCTACACCAAGCGGCGCGGCAACGCCCGCTAGTCGCACCCAGTGGGAAGAAACTCCTGGGCGGCCCCGCGACACAGCAGTTACGCCTGGGCCAGGTGTTCGACAGTGGTCTGAGACTCCAGCACACCTCCCCGCTGGCGCTACTCCAGGACGTGATGCGACGAGTGCGTTAGGCGTAAGTACAACTCTGTCATCCATGTGTCATGTCCTGTTTCGTCAACAATCAATTCATGCAATTTAAATGAGGGCGCCGGCTGGGGCAGTGTGATACTACCCACAAGGCCTGTAATCCAAATTTACCACGTTTGACACGCGTTGTCGATGTCGGCAGAATTGCATTTGATAACGTGCTCAAAAGCGATTCACATGTTTTTTTTTCAGGGTACGCCAAGTGCTCGCAAGAATCGTTGGGACGAGACCCCGCACACAGAGCGGTATGGCGCCGATACTCCTAGTCACGGAGCAGGATGGGCGGAAACTCCCAGGGCCGATTTCACCCCTGGTGGTGTGGATTCCATTCAGGACACTCCGTCGATGATACAAAAACCGTTGGGCGCTCAGACTCCAAACACGGCTGCGGCCGTAATTGCGAAAAGGCGATCGCGTTGGGACGAGACTCCGATGAAAGCTGGTGCAACACCAAGTGGGGCAACCCCGTCACAGGTAAGTGCAACCTACGTCTTAAACATTCTACGCTTCTCCCACTCCTGTAGCTGCGTTCTTTGATTTCGAGTTTATCGACTCCTCCGAGGTTCTGCTTCGGCAAATACAGGTTTTTGAAATTGCCACATTACATCAGATGATCAAAACAGTCTATAGGGCAACTCTCCAGCAAAGGTGGTGTGTTTGTTTGAAGTACAGAGACGATTAGCACCTTGTTAACACCATATTTCCGGTATCTCAATAGTTGAGGGATGTTATGTTGGAAGCCACTATCTGGAAAGGGACGAGTTACTCATAATGAAAGACCAACAAAGTCGACGGCGCACTATCCTCCTGATAAAATCCAACAAATATGTTCAGTCCTTTTTGTCGCGTCTTTCTGTAGACTCCCAGCGGATTCACCCCAGCAGTAGGCACGCCTTCTAGCATGACCCCTGGACTGGGATTCACACCGTCCGGGACGACACCCACGGGCGCAAAGGCTATGTCCATGGCGACTCCGGCTTTCGGCAGTGCAGCTGCGACCTTGCCCGGCACCGGAATTCCGATGACTCCTGAGCAGATGAGGGCCATTCAATGGCAGCAAGAAATTGATGATCGCAACAGACCTTTGACCGACGAGGAACTAGATGAGATGTTGCCCCCAGGTTAGCATTCTTGTTTCCATCATTGTCTGATTACTTTTTTCCGAGTGGTCTTTTTTGTGAACGGACTTTTTGTTCTGATTCAATTTACTCTGACTACATAGCCCATTTTCTTTAAAATTAAGGCTACAAGATCTTGCCACCTCCCGCGGGCTATGTCCCATTGAGAACGCCGACACGAAGGTTAGTGGCTACTCCTACGCCGCTCGTCGGCACCCCAATGGGCTTCCGCATGAACACCCCTGACGCTGGCACTGCCGGTGGCTTTGGAATTGCCGCAACTGGAGCCAATGCTGCCGCCTTGGGTGATCTACAGCCAAAGGGTAATAATCTGCCAATGATGAGACCCGATGATCTTCAGTATTTTGACAAACTTCTCCAGGTAAACTACCTGCCTTTTTCTTAACCCTCACTAGGACGTTGACGAAGACAGCTTGCCGCCCGAAGAAGCCACCGAACGGAAGATCATGACACTCCTTCTAAAGATTAAGAATGGAACGCCTCCAATGCGCAAGTCTGCTCTGAGACAAATAACTGACAAAGCTCGGGAGTTTGGGGCTGGTCCTCTTTTTAATCAGATACTCCCTCTATTAATGTCACCTACACTAGAGGATCAAGAGCGGCATTTGTTGGTTAAGGTAACAGTGCTCTATCCTTTCTAACTCCTTTAGGTTATCGACCGTATTTTGTACAAACTGGACGACCTTGTTCGACCGTATGTGCACAAGATCTTGGTTGTTATTGAACCACTGTTGATTGACGAAGATTATTACGCGCGTGTCGAGGGACGCGAAATTATCTCCAACCTGGCTAAGGCAAGACCACGATATATTTGGAGTGTCATTTTTAGAGCTATAAATTTTCGAATTACACGCAATGTTATCCTTTAATTTGTAGGCCGCTGGTTTGGCAACAATGATTTCGACCATGCGTCCCGACATCGACAACATGGATGAATACGTGCGTAACACCACTGCGAGGGCGTTTGCCGTCGTCGCCTCCGCTTTGGGCATACCAAGTTTGCTACCATTTTTGAAGGTAATGTTGTTGCAGTTACATGCTGCCCAGTACTACTTCAGATTGGTCTCCACTGCGTGCTCGTAGATTCGCCGTATCCTGCAAAACCGTTTAAGTTTACTGGCCCCAAACCTAACAGATCATGCTACTTTTGGCTATTGTACTTAGCGAGACAGCCACAGAGTAATTGTTCTGCCTCCTTATTTAGCTGACTGTTCTGAAATTTCATTAAAAGGTAGTGAATCCAAATTAAATGTGGGCCAGCTGTCCTCGACATTCGGTCGATGCAATTTGACTTGCTGTTTTACCACTGTTGCTAAAGGAGTGACGGTACTCAGGACTGACCTTTCTTGACGCACTGTTGGTAGTTAGAATCACTTTGGGCTTCACTTGTGTTTTCTTCATTCAGGCCGTCTGTAAGTCCAAAAAGTCATGGCAAGCTCGTCATACGGGCATCAAGATAGTCCAACAGATATCAATCTTGATGGGCTGCGCTATTCTTCCGCATTTGAGGAGTTTGGTTGAAATTATTGAACATGGCCTTGTTGATGAGCAGCAAAAGGTGCGGACGATCACAGCTTTAGCCCTGGCTGCCCTCGCTGAGGCCGCGACGCCGTATGGTATCGAGTCTTTCGACTCTGTTTTGAAGCCTCTATGGAAGGGTATCCGAAGTCACCGCGGCAAGGCAAGTTACCCTACTTCATTTGTGCTATCTGACTTTTTGGATCCATCTTGCTTTTGAATGTAATGGGACGTTTTTTATCACTTTCCAGGGTTTAGCTGCCTTCCTGAAAGCTATTGGATATATCATACCTCTTATGGATGCAGAATACGCTAATTTCTACACCCAAGAAGTCATGCTAGTTCTAATCCGTGAGTTTCCGTCACCAGACGAAGAAATGAAAAAGATTGTATTAAAGGTCGTGAAACAGTGTTGTGCAACCGAGGGTGTCGAGGCCGATTACATAAAGGGCGAAATCCTTCCCCCTTTCTTCCGTCACTTCTGGAACCAAAGAATGGCGCTCGACCGTCGCAATTATCGTCAGGTACGAAACTTTCTGCCTGCTTTTAACCGTAATGATGTAGTACGACTATGGTATTTTATTCATGCTTCTTACACCGACATCATTTGGGAACATTTACCTAGGATGAGCCGTAAACTCGAAGCTATTTACTACGTCATTTTAATACCCTGGATAGGCTGTTTGTGTGTAACCCTTTTTCGCACTACAGCTTGTGGATACAACTGTTGAGATTGCAAATAAAGTCGGCGCTACCGAAATAATCTCGCGAATAGTCGAAGATCTGAAGGACGAATCTGAACAGTACCGCAAAATGGTGATGGAGACCATTGAAAAGGTCATGTCGGCATTAGGGAGCGCGGAAATAGACGCTCGTTTGGAGGAACAGCTTATTGATGGTATCCTGTATGCCTTCCAAGAACAGACAACTGAGGTAAGCTTTATTCGACGCACTAGACAGCTAAATATTCTAAAATCTAAACTTTGTTCATTCTGTTTAGGACTCTGTGATGTTAACTGGCTTCGGTACGGTCGTGCAGTCGCTTGGAAAACGCGTCAAGCCATACTTACCACAAATCTGTGGTACTATCTTGTGGCGATTGAATAACAAGTCCGCTAAGGTCCGTCAACAAGCGGCTGATTTAATCAGTCGCATATCTGGCGTCATGAAAGTTTGTCAAGAAGAAAAGCTAATGGGCCACCTGGGTGTTGTCCTATACGAATACCTGGGTGAAGAATATCCAGAAGTGCTGGGCAGTATTCTTGGAGCGCTGAAAAGCATTGTAAATGTGATCGGCATGACAAAGATGACACCCCCTATCAAAGAACTGCTTCCACGGCTGACACCAATCTTGAAAAATCGGTAATTTTTCCCGTCCTTCTATTTTGGAGCAAAACCTTTGCGGACTATGTCTTGCTGTTGTGCGTCCGTTTAAAAAGCTTAACTTCATAATTTCAATGCAGGCATGACTTAGCTAGTTTAGAAGCACATGGACTTGGCAAGTCTACTTATTCATTTTCAGTGGTTATTTCTCTAAACCACCGGTTGTTTCATTATTTTCAGTCATGAAAAAGTTGAAGAGAATTGCATCGACCTTGTTGGCCGAATAGCGGACCGTGGCTCGGAGTACGTGTCTTCTCGAGAATGGATGCGCATTTGTTTCGAACTCCTCGAACTTCTCAAGGCACATAAAAAGTCTATCCGGAGAGCAACAGTCAACACCTTTGGATATATTGCGAAAGCAATTGGTCCACATGACGTCCTAGCCACACTGTTGAATAATTTAAAGGTTAGTAAGCCCACCACGACTATGCAGCGGCTCAGTCCACGCGTTACTAGATTAAATTTACTGCAAAATGGGCTGCTTTTCGAGGTGTGGATTATTATTGACCGCTCGTTTATGCTGATTTCGAGCATTTACTCTGCCTCAAACAAGCTTCCTGCTCTTCGCACGAAGCCACTGTCGTCAGATATTGCTCTGTCCGCCCATGAACTGTACCACCACCTAACTTCGACGTATCATCGTTTTAGGCTGGTAATAATAGACATTGACTCCTCTGCGTTCAAAACCTGCAGCGTAGGATCAGGCTTCTTTTCAGATTGTTCGTTTCATTAAGAATCTCTCGTGAAAATGAAAGTGTGCTCAACGCCTTGGAAACTCGTCGCTGCGAGATGGATCTCTCGCACCACTGTTAGGCGTGTAAAGCCTCTTTGACTCAAGACAAGTCTTCTGTTTGACCGATACTCTACTGGGATCGATAGGCATTTTCAGACATTTGATCTGGTCGGCAATTTCTAGTGGATGAACTGTGGGGAAATAGGGAGCCTACTCTCCTGTCGCAGAAATAGTCACAAGGTTTTAACATAGTCTTCTGTCTGACATCACGCTACTTAGATTTCTTGCTTTCGCATGCCACGTCTCATTAAAATTTTGTTTCTTGGATGCAGGTTCAAGAGCGTCAAAACAGGGTTTGCACTACAGTTGCCATTGCGATCGTCGCAGAGACATGCAGCCCATTCACTGTACTTCCAGGTCTGATGAACGAATATCGCGTACCTGAGCTAAATGTCCAGAACGGCGTTTTGAAATCCTTGGCCTTCATGTTCGAGTATATCGGAGAGATGAGCAAGGATTATATTTACGCAGTCACTCCACTTCTCGAGGATGCGTTAATGGACCGGTAAGTCTTATTTCCATACTGTGATCTCAACTCAAATATCCAGTAAGCAGTTACGCTTGCCGATAGTAATCGGCAAACGTAACTGCTTACTGGTTCGGGTGGAGGCTAGTATCCGAATACCAGATGTGTGACTAAGGAAGGAGGAAACTGATCGAATGCCGGAATCGTTTATTATTCTGAGCCTTCGAACTAATACAGGGGTCCATCTCCAGAGATGAGAGCAACAGCGGAAAAAATGACAGTTGTAGGAATTATCAGTGCCGTTTTTTTAAGGTGACTGCGCAACAGTATGCGACCGTTTTATCAGCGTTCGTTAAATGAGTTCTCATCAGAGACGCAGGCTTCAGTCAACTCGACCTATGTTGCTTCTGGAACAAGCAACATCTGGTGGCTGCAAAGTGGAAACTGGGCAGCCCTTTATAATAATTTCTCCCAGTCTCGCAGCTAGCTTATGTCCGTGTATGCTCGATCCGAGCATGCGCTCATTCTGACCCGTGTCATTACAAGGACAGTATGCATGCGTTGCCATACACTACTCTAGACATCTCCCGGGGGTTTGGTTACTTAATGTTTAATGACGCTCCTGCACATGGTAGCTTTGGATAGGTTCTCAGTGTTAGCATCTAGACCCATAGCAATGCGCCCAGTCGTCTTTGGAACTCAGTGGTATTTCTGTTTGGCTACTCCGATGACGGACGCGTAGGCATCGACCCATGAGCGCCTTCGAATAACCGTTCCGCACAAATTGATCGCGGAGATGTCGGATCCCGCGCTTTTTCTTTCGGCCTGCTGCAGTGAGGAATCCCTCTAAAGGACGTTGTCACAGTTCCATATATAGCCCATTGGAAAGTTGCTGTGAAAACGTAGTGTTGGTTAACTTACTGTAAGTCGTCGTCTCGGTTCCACCGTCAGGACTTCGCCCGGCGAGCGCATCAAGGAGGGGCAGCTGTTGCTCCCGCATAAGTTGTGTATCTGGAAATATTGCGTCGGGCAGGTTATGAAAATTGTGCAGAATGTTCTGACGATAGCAAATCCGTCGTCAATTTAATGTCGCCAAGAACCGGCTCATGCAGGCTGAAGACGGTCTTATAGCTTCTGTGAGACCAGTTCTGCCACTGAACCGGAGAATGAGGAGTCCACTCGGGTTTCATGATCCGCTCATAGGTTTCTCCAACAAAGACGTTCTTGGAGAAATCCAAACATCGAGCCCTGAGTTTCGTCGTATACCTTTTCAGGTTCTAACTACATGACATAGTACGCCAAATTCAATGGGATGGGTGTGACGAACGACGTCACGTCAAAGGAGATCATGACTTCGTTCGACTGAACCCTCCGATCTCGAAGATCTGAAAAGAAGTTTGTAGGCTGATGGGATTGCCTCGGAGAAACTTTAGATCGGTTCGTTCACGTTTCCAAGTAATGAGTAGGGCACATTACTACCGGGAACTAGCTGCTGTTCAGCCCATCTGACACGTCGACCGCGTCAATCCCCCATGCCTCTTGCTGGCCGCAGCAGTATGTTGAGTGCACGGATACATAATGTTTAATATATTTTGTAATTTTTAACTTTTCACTAGTTTGTCCCTTCCTGACTACTCATCTTCAATGTCCTCGCGATATTTTTTATTATTTAACCGCCGGCCTGCTCTCTAACTAAACTTCATCTCTTATCTTCAGCGATCTTGTTCATCGGCAGACCGCAATGTCGGCCGTTGGTCACATGGCTCTTGGAGTCTACGGTTTTGGCTGCGAGGATGCACTTCTGCATCTCTTAAACTTTGTCTGGCCCAACGTATTCGAAACGTCCCCGCACGTCGTACAGGCATTTATGTCCGCTATCGAGGGTCTTCGAGTATCCTTGGGTCCTAACAAGATTCTTCAGTATGTCCTACAGGTAAGCGGATGTCGACGTATTGAATAAGGCAAATCGGGTTTAATCAATGTTCTGGAAGGCAGCTTAATCATAGACTGCACGTTTTACGCGACTTTCGGTATACAGAGGTTTTTGAAAGACTTATTAATGCCTGCCTACTCGGTGTAACCTGGATAACAGACATTTCAAAACTCAATCGAAAGTCTTGTACGGTTGCTCCTGCGTCCAAAAGCATACGAATTCATTGAATCATTCAAAACTAGGTGGTACCTTTAGATAAATACTTAAATGCAGGACTTGATTTGCCAGCTAAGCATTCTCAAAAGTTAAAATAGCCCATGAAAGCCTTATTAGCTGTGGTTAATGTGAGGGCGACTCCCTGCAAAAATGGACTAGAAAAAAAGTGTTTGTGAGCATTGGTATTCTCGTTTATGACAGTTACTCGACTCGCCGTCAAGACAGTATTCGTCGCTTGTAAAACGCTAAATTACGACGAGCGGCCTCTGAGGCCTCAATCGTCAGTAAACTCCTCGGTGCGGGCTCTGGGCCATGCCAACAGCTGAAATGGTAGCTTTAGTGATTGTGCGCGAGCACAATAATGAATTCCAGTTCTTGTATCGCGAATCTAAACACGCTGTTAAGGATCCGGACAGACCAGCTTAGTGTCTGTTGGGCGCACACAGATCATATAGATGACGATACATTTCTCTGCTAAGTGCACTTCTAACTACGTCCTTATGGCTGTTCTCGACCCACATTAACTAGCCCCTCAGACTAGGCTTATTTGCAGTTGAAACCTGGCAGGCATACTAATTTTGTGCTCTGGCTTTTAGGGCCTTTACCACCCCGCTCGCAAAGTTCGCGATATGATGTGGAAAGTCTACAACACCATCTATATTGGCAACCAAGATGGTCTTGTTTACGGCTACCCCCGAATAAAGGACGAGGAAAAGAACACTTATGTTCGCCACGAACTGGATTATGTTTTATAGGCCCTGGACCTTCCTGCTGTTCTGTTGACTGGGCCACTGTACACAAACTCAATTTCTTGTATCTTTGACCTTTAAAATTTCTCTAATCTTCCATATCTGTAGTTACGCTGAGAGAGTAAGATGTCCTATCGGCAAAGGGGTCTTGATTTCTTCGATCTGGATCCAAGATGCATTTCGTCAGTATTTTTGCAAATCTTCATACGTACAGTAGATGTGCTACCTCATGGAATGTTAGCCGAAATTCTAAAATGTTTTCGGTCCGAAAAGCTTATCTAAGTAGAGCTGTGGTACTAATTATTGCGCATTATAATCCTAAGGTGCTTCACTCACGACAACGTGCCGGCTCTTGAGTGCGCTTTCTGGCCGTCTCCAAAGACGATATTGTAAGGAGTGGCTGTGTAAGTAGGGTGAATTTTCCCCATTGATTTCCGATGTCCTTGCAAATGCAGATATGCCATGTAGAAGACATGCACAAAAATGTTCCTACACATCCGGTAGCATATCGTGTTCGCAACTTTTTATTTGAAGAGTGAGCATTTTATGGGCTTGAAAAGGTCTATGGGATTATTTAACATCGTGAAATGTCCATTTATA